TAATAATAACTTTATTTAAAGAGGGAAACACTTTACAGTCCTGGACTGAGAAACCTGTGGCTCTCACTTAAATTTAGTGGAGTGTAAATTACAGTACACCAACGTTCTTCGCTGTACGTTCAGATTAACCAGTTCGCACTCTCTCTTAATTGTCGTAGAGTGAGTAAAATATTTTGTATGGAACTTCTGTACCGCAATTGCACGGGAACCACACATATTGATACGTAATAATTAGTTCAAATAAAGCGCCTAGAAAGCATCCTAGCGCCGTGGGCGGTTTTGAAAATCTCCAATATGTGGTACAGTCAAACCTGTATTAGGCGGACACCCTTATGATCCGTGCTAGTGTCCGCTTAATACAGGGTGTCCGTTGAACACTGGTTCCCTCAGAATTCGTCTTAAAAGGGTCATATTAATATTCGTCAGTATTAAAAGACCTTGAAAGGGTCAAATAGCATTCTCGTGAACGTTTGAGAACTCTGAAATACAGTATTCCATAAACAATGACAAGTATATGAGGTAAAGCGATTTAAGTATGCAGTAACAGTATCTATATTGATCGAATCATGTGAAGGTTTACTAAATCAAGCAAGAACAAATGTTCTGTAAAACCAAAACCGAAGAACAAAATATTGCATTTCTGTGACAGCTCAGTTTGTTGGCAAACTTAACTGACTGATCTACTAAAACGTGGACAGTAAAATCATGCATTCTTTTTGCAGTGTCCGTTTGATACAGGTTTCTAACAATAGAAATGACCATAAAAGTCAAGTTTAAGCTGTCCGCGTCCGCTTAATAGAAGTGTCCGTTGAATACAGGTATTTTTTACAGTGAATGTGGGAAAAGGAAAATGGGACTTGCACTGTGTCCGCTTAATATGGGGTCCGCTTAATACAGGTTTGACTGTAGTTTATTCTTGCCCCCGGTGTGTAATCGAGAAAAAAACCATGTGCAAGTGTAGAGCGTTACGTTTATAACGCGTTTACTCGCTTGTTTCGGGGAGAATCTTCACAGTGATGGCGATATCCATAGTATAACAACCAGCGTTGTGCTTTACTTACAATAAAGCCGCTCTTGTAAATG